CCAGTATCGAATAAAGCAAACACAGGAACATTATTAAGAATAACCATTCCGGACATTATACCTGGCTGCTGCTCGGCCTCTGCCTGATCGACGGTGTAAACTCGGGCCTGCTGTCTGCCCCTCTGCTGCTGCTGCTGAGGCTGCTGAGGCTGCCTCTGCGCCTGCTGACGGGGCTGCTGCTGCTGCGGTGGCTGCTGCGCCTTCTTCGGACAACGGTTCGCGAAGTGTCCGGGCTCGTGACAATAATAGCATACATCCTGACCAAAGCGACACTCGCCTCGGTGAAGTCGTCCGCATGTCGGGCACTGAGGGATCTGCTGTAGCCTCCGTCGGGTCCTCTTATCTGCCGGGGCACCTTTTCCTTTCCTCTTGTTGTTCTTTGGCGGCTGGGTAGATGGTAGAGCTGGCATCGGCAGAACTGAAGATGACTGATCAGGGGCGGATGGCTGGAACTGATCACGAACGGCCTCCCTCCTAATGCTGGCATCCACCTCCTGGGCAATGGAGACTACACGTGTGTACGTCTGTGTCCCGTGGCCTACGATGTTATGACGGACTGCTGGGTAAAGCCCGTCAATGAAACGCTGCGCTCGCTGGGCCTCCGTGCGGACCAACTCAGGAACGAAAGCTGCAAGTCTCGTGAATTCCCTCTCGTACTCGTCAACAGTACGAGTACCCTGCTGGAGCGATAGAAACTGACGCTCCATCTCGGCTCGGTAGTATGTGGGGTAGTACTTCTCGCGGATTAACTCCTTGAACATCTCCCACGTACAACCCGCCTTTTCGCCGGGACGCATGCTCCAGTAAGCGTTCCACCAGAGCCTAGCATCACCGGTGAGCTGAAGCTGAGCGCAAATGACGCGATATCTATCAGGGCACTCCATGACCTCGAAGATAAACTCCAAGCCCTGAATCCACTCGTCAACTATGCGAGGATCTCCCTGCCCTGAGAACTTTTCGGCATGATAGTCGCGGAACTGCGCGACCACTGTAGCCTGAGTAGGAGCCGGATGATCGGGTTCCCTACGTGGCGGCATCTGAATATTGAGAAAGTTCAAAATTATTGAACATGTGATGATATTCTGACTGATTACTGAGGCACACAAATCTCTTGACAAGTAGCCAAAAATGGCCGATAATTACTGACATGAAACCTGAGGAACTCTAGAGTCATATCGTAAGATACTAAAGTCTAGAGTCACTTCTGAGTATACTGATCTCTAAAGTCAAGTCTGAATGTACTGAATTCTAGAGTTATATCCGAACTCTATAGTCTGAATCTGAATCGAGCATCTTAACTAAGTCTGATTACTGATTTCTGAGCATAGACAAAGTAATATGTTTATAACTGAAAACTGAATAAGCACTTACCTGGAGTCAGCGAGGCGTGAGCGTGACGGTTCAGGTTTTTCTGAAAATTTCTGACTGAAAAACTTTTCAGAGACGCAGAAATGTGCTCAAATACCAATTGTAACACCCTGACTTTTTATTACTATCAGAGTACGCTATTTTTCGCAAATTTTCTGAATAAAACATAAAACATTAATTTTTGCGAAAACTGATTCGGGATGCTACCGTGAAAAACTTGATTTTTCTGAAAACCGTTAAAATTTTAAACTGATAATTAAAAACGATTATAACGTCTTATTCGACTATCGTCGGAACAAAAACTGATAATATGTACCG